CTGAAATAAAGAAAACAAATTTTTAAGAAAGTTAATAATGCAGAGGTTGGACTTAGTCGCAACCCTTCATTTCTTCATCGATCGGTGACAGGGTCGCCCATTGACTTGCCTGTAGACGACTTCTTCGCTGATTGGGACAGTATTTAGGTTTGTCTCCTTTCATCCCATTAAAATTGCAGGAGTCCTTTTGATGGCTTTTAGTGGAGTGCAATCTTAAGCCATTTTATATGGTGCAACATAACCTAGCCACAGTTATAACCTAAAGCTCCCACTTTAGGATGTTGGTTGAACGTGATGATTCCCCCCCCCCCCCCCCAGCAAGCACCTTGCTACCAATCCTTTCAGTCCAAATGAAGTCCCAAGTCGTTGCCACCAAGTCCCTAGTAAAGTCCCAAGTCACCAAGAATGCTTCAAGTCCAGTCCCGAGTCAAGTCACTTCATGTTTCAAGCCATTTGCAAGGGACCATGATTATGAATCAATCAAAACAGTCCGACATTAGAAATGCAGTTCATTATGGATGGTAGCACTTCGGATGGCTACCGTATGCTTTTAATGCGTGTGTATGCTAGTGCATATGCTCAGACAGCAGTCTGTCAATCTTTCCGTTGGCACAACTATGGGATGACCCGTTTGCAATGAAGCAGAAACTAAGATTACAAGATTACCAGATTATCGGATCAATCAAAAATTGGGAAATGGCAGTGCAAGAAACTAACTAACTGTATATAAAAGCAGAAGAAGTAAAAGGTGAAACCTTGATAAAACGAAACATAATTTATTCTGTTCTATTTTATATGGAGACTTCTTACAGTATGACACTGATCGCCAGACCTCACAGTAGCCGGCATCAGGTCGTACCAAGTCACCGCCATCATTAGAATACGCCTTATATCTGTGTTCCGTAACATCATAGGCAGGGTCCATTTTTCCCGCCCGGCGTTTTGCCTTTGTGTGACTAAACAGGAGACGGCCGTGCACAAGTCATCGAGGCTAGTCGAGTCGCTGGGCAAAACATCAAACTGAGTCGCAAGTCGTTAATTATGCGACTTAAGTCGGTCTCGAGTCCAGGTGGCGCGACTCGAGTCCCGATCTCTGTAATTCTGATCAAAGATTTCAAGACATATTTCAGTGCTGTGAAGAAATGTTACAGTTACAGCCAGTGGTGTCCTCTACCACTAAACGAATTACCCTTTCAGTCTCGGCTTTGTGTGTGTGTGTGTGTGTGTGTATGTGTGGGCGCGCGCGCGTACGTGTGTGTGTGTGGCTAAGAGCAAAGTTTAATGAAAGGTTAAGATGGACATAAAATCAGACTGAAACTGGTCACCACATTCTCCAGATAAAGACGGACGTGAACTGGTACACTTTCGCTGGCTGCTGAAGATGAGGACACAGCCCCTATGGGAATTTTCCGAGGGCAGTCGTGTCGGTTTTTATCTCAACTTAACTCACAGTGTGGTATCAAAGTCTAGTTACCGAAATGTTCAAAGAAGTGTATGTAGATTAAAAACTACAACAACAACAACAACAATAATAATAATAATAATAATAATAATAATAATAATAATAATAATGAGCCCATTACTTTCAAAAAGACTAAACACACAGTGGGAGTGGCCCGCAGTCTGTTTTAACCAGTGGGTTAATACAAGAAAATATTATGGTGGGATTTGCATCAGTGGAGATGTGTCCTGGCATATCATGCCTCAAATGGAACTGAAAGTGTTAAAGCAGCATTCTTTATTTAACCTGTTTTTTTTTCCACCTGCGAACGAGGACAACCCCCCAACCCCCTTTCCCACAACCCTACAAGAAAGAAAAAAGGAGAGGAAATATTTTGGGGACCGGCTGATGGCCAAGACAGAATCACAAATAAATAAATGTGGACATCTCAGTAATTAATAAACGGTGGCGTAGCGTCTAGACGCTCGCGTGCGGATCGGAAGGTCGTGGGTTCGCACCCTGGCATGAGCCGGACTTTTTTCAAAAATGACTTTGACTCCCAGGTCGACCAGTCTTGAGTGGGTACCGGGTGCAGTCCCTGGAAGTAAATGAGACTGGCGTGATGCTGACCACATCACCCACTTTGTGCCGATTGGTCTATAAAAATATAGGTCGGTCTAGCCCTATTTGCCCAATACGCTTAAAGACGTGGAAAAAAGACCTTTACCTACATGTTTGAGCTATTGCGACGTCTACTACTCAGACGTGGAAAAAAATTTGGCATACGCGGTTGGAGCCTTGTTTCTGCAGGTTTTTTAAGTATCCGTTTTATTTCTATTGTAGCTGCTAAATCAGAGGTTTTCACATTTTTTCATGTGGTGCCCTCTTGGATATTTGGCAAGGTCCTCCTCCCTCCCACTTATATATATATATATATATATATATATATATATATATATATATATATATATATATATATATATATATATATATATATATGAACAGAAAGAAAAATGCCATAACAAGAACTTAGAGAAAAACATCCAAATAAGTCAAAATGTCAAATAACGAAAGAAACAATCAATAGTCTATAAATTTCAGTGTGATGGTTGTCACAGTAAGGTTTAGACGATGTCTGCAATTTTTGGATTCATGTTGGACAAGGCACAGCGTTGGAGATCACTCTCCACATCAAGCTAACAGCGCTGTTGTGTTTCTATGACCGTCACATTGTAATTTATAATTAAACTATAGAGAAAAATTATTGTATAACAGATTATTAGATGAATAAATGCAACCAATTTCAAAATTACTTGACTCCCCTTTGAAACTTCCTTGCGCTCCCACCCCAAGTTGAAAACCACTGAGCTAAATGATTGGTCTGGCCAGGTGACCACCAGAAAACCAAGGCACAACTGATTATGTAAGAGAAAAAGGGGTAAACAAAAGGTTTACAAATAATTACAATGCATAGGGTAATCCATGATGGCCTATGATCACAGTTTGTCTGTAGCTGTCATGACCCTACATTTATGGAAGGGGGTTGGGGGGGGGGGGTTGAGAGAGAGAGAGAGAGAGAGAGAGAGAGAGAGAGAGAGAGAGAGAGAGAGAGAGAGGGGGGGGTGTTTATCGAAAGAGAAAAAAAAAACAGCTTGGAAATTAAACAACGACAAGGTAATCATGCAACTAAGAAAACTTAAGAGAAGAAAATATGGACATAAAAAGCAATTAGGGAACGGAACGGGCCAAAATTGGACCTTCAGAGTCCAAGGCGAATGGCTAAACTACTTCGCCATGGGTTCAGATCCTTATCAATTGGGCTCTTTTTCAAAACTGACCGTATTCTCAGGTCGACCCAGCCATAAAAGGGTACCAAGTCATGACCATGATGAGTCAAAGCCACCAAAAGGATCCTCTATTTAGTTTTTACTTTGCCAGTTGCACCCCATATTGACAAATAAGAAAAGCAATTTGCCATTCTAAAAGATGTGAACATTAGGGAAAATTGGCTAATAAACAGCATCTTGCCTCGGAAGCTGAAATATTTTGGCCCTATCAAACACCGCGGGAAAAGGAACTGGGGGGGGGGGGGTGAAAAAATAATAGCAAAGGGCATGGTACAATGAAGAAGGGGAAGGGACCAACCAGTACGAAGATGGGCACAGGATATATCTACGAGGTGGGAGAATTGGCGAGAGACCTAGTTTTTCTTTCAGGCAGACCGTGATGAGAGCGACGTTCTCTACAAAAGTCCTGCTACATGGTGATGATGATGATCGTGAATTGCACCCCGTTCCACCCTCCAAATGAGTTCAGGTAAACAACACCAATTCCCTTTACCGAAACCCTCTTAAAAATGCAGTCATCCATCTATTGTAGCAGCAATGTAGAAACATATGGATATCAAGATATTCGAAAATACGAATCTATATATATATATTTTATAGACCAACGGCACAAGATGGGTGATGTGATCAACATCACGCCGGCGGCCTTTATTTCCCAGGGCTGCACCTGGTACCCACTTAAGGCTGACGAATCCATATGGCAAACGGAAATTTCACGACACCTAGAAATCACTAACGTCGAAGGAAATCCAATTTGTATTTTTGTGACTGTGTAGATTTTAAGTGGTGTGTGTGCGTGCTGTGTATTATATGTATGTGCGTTGTATTTTATTTGTGTGTGTTCTATATTGTCTGACTATCTATATCTGGCCTGTCTCTGGCGGTCTGCCTCTCTGTCGGGCTTCTCTCATGTCTGTATTTCTGCTTGTCTGTCTCTATGTTTGACTTCGTGTGCCTGCATGTCTGTTTTCTGTATCTGTTTGATTCTGTTGACTATGTATATTGTGTACTGTATATGTTGGATGTGTGTGTACTGTCTGTGTGTATGCTTGTGTATGCTTGCTTATGTGCGTTAGGAGCGGGTACAAGATTAAAGGAAACGACAATTAAAAAAAAACATTTTTTTTTAAAATGTACAAAATCACCACCAGATGTCAGAAAGCAAGTGCACTTATATACCAATTGTCACCATTATTAAGACATCCAAGTATAACTATGAGTGCGAAGAGACAGATTATTAATTGCATATTCATTCTAACATTAGGCTACCAGTGCCAAACATGGGCAGTATCTAAAGCCCATATACACAAAATCACCACCTGCTAGATAATGTGCCTGAGAAAAGTAGCCAACCTAACCATTCGAAATCGAGTGAATAATGAAACTATCAGGCAAATTGTGGGAACGACACCTTGTGCTAGATTCATTGAGAAACAGCAGATCAAGTGGTTTGCCCATCTCGTTAGAATGCAGCAAGAGTAAATACCATCACAAGCACTACATCTCAGAAGATTAGCTACAAGAGCAAGAGGACGGCCGCGGAAAACATGGATCGACAACATTAAAGAGACTCTACGCCTTCACGGCATGACAAAAGCCAGTGGCAACCAACGTGCACTGGATCGCAAAATTATTCCTCCCCACGCCACTTAACGGCAAAAGTGGTTTATGATGATGATGATGAAGACGAATCAGAACCTAACATAAAACGG